CACTGTGTTACTGCATGCTCTGTGTGACTGCATACACAGAATTACCACATATGTATGGGAAGTGCTAATGCAACACATGCAGTAACACACTGTGTACACAACGCAGCATGTATATTATGAGCCCTAACACAGGCTGCTCTATGCAAGCATAGTCAACACTGGGTCCAGATAGGGGTTAATAAGAAAATGAAAAATAAAATATAGCAGACTAAGGACGGTAAATAAACGTCCTGTATATACAAGACTAGAGATATATCAGTACTTGTATTCAGCAATGCTTGGGGGGAGCAAGGGGGAGAGGGCGTGACCAAGCACGGGTAAGACTGCCAAGGCTACGTCATGGGTCACAGCCCTGGAGAAGAGTCGCTGCACCCGACATTCATCTGACAAGGATGCGCTGCGCCCCGGGTACCAGCCCACAGAAGCGGGCAGGTTCTTGCCCAGTACAATACGGACAACACAGAGGCTGTCGGCATGCAGAAGAGAAGAACGGTGATATCAGCAGTCATTGGACCACCCACATAGGCTGCAGGCACCCACAGATGAGCAGGAGAGACCGGACAACACCTGCACCGCACTGGAGACAGGTAAGTGGGACCCTCGCTCGAGTATAAGCCGAGGGGGGCCTTTTCAGCATAAAAAAATGTGCTGAAAAACTTGGCTTAGACACAAGCATATACGGTAAATCTTTCAAGTTTAAACATACATATGTCAAAACCAAATAACTAAAAACAAACGCTCTTTACTTATGTACCAACATCTGAGCTCATAGTTCTGGAGAAATAAGAAGCTATAGTCCATTGACCTGTTTGAGTATTAATGAGCTCATCAACATTTTTTTCAACCATCACAGACATTGCTCTATTTGGAAAGTGGTAAGAAGGTGGATGTTCACATTTCTCTGCTGGTTTAAGTCTATGTTTAAAGCATAATTTCACAAATTAAAAGGTCAGTTATATTTATTTTGAAATTACCTAGAGACATTCAATTTTGCATTGCACAGGCTTTTAGTACCCTTTTGTGTCTCCACATAAAACATGTATCTGTGTCAAAAGCTTGAAATAATTTGCAGATATGCTTTTTCTTTTATCCAGTATGTTAAGAATACTTACCAGTGGGAACTATAAGAATTCCAGGAAATTTACCATCTGGTCAAAAGTATCACATTTGCACATGATTTATTGATGAATAACTTGAGCAAGCTTAAGTAGCACTTCATCGGTACACGTTTGCCTCAGCTGCTCTGGGACAGAGACAGCATATCCCTTTGGAGCCTAACACTAAATGGACTTAGACTAAGGAGCTGAGAAACTAGTCATTTACTAATTAGACTATGGGGAGAGACTCTCTGTCATGTGTACCTGGAGGACATTATTGAGGATGTTCATGATCTCATTCAGTGCCTGTCTGATCAAGCTCTAAGGTGTATGGAGTGGGAGGGGGGGTACGAGTGAGGGATGGTAGGGAGGTGGGATTCTGTCTGCTCTTTTAGCACCAATCTGACTTGTACTCATTGACAACCGGTTTACTTGCACCTTTGATGGGAAGAGTCTTGTAACTAACTGTATGTCTCTCCTTTGATTGGTTGCTAGACAGCTGAAAGCAAAAATGGAGAGCCACCAGTGCAAGTCAATAGTACTTCATGTGATACATTTTCTATAGTAAAAACAACACAGCTGATATTATAAGTTCTTGGGTACTGTGGCTAAAGCACGTAGGTGTGTTAGAATCCACTTACTTTTCACAATATTCCTGAATCATGAGCACGTTAGCTTTCTCATCTTGACCAAGGAGGAAGCTGAAGCCGGGAGCCCCTTATTTCCTCACCCAAAGCACTAGATCTATGAAGAGACTGAATCTCGACCCTGCCTAAATCTAGCCACACCAAGGATCTTCCATTCGCTTCCTCCGCCTCCTGACACAAGTCATGTTTCTGCACCTCTGATTCTTTGTTTACTTGCACTAGTAAAATGAGCACAATGGACCGGGGCCCTCTGGATAAACATTAGTGCTCCCAGCTCTTCTTTCAAAAGGCCATGCTCAGGCCCCCAGACCCTGCCTGCCTCAAATTACTCGTATTTGAAAGAGTAGAGGGGCAATGGGACCCTCCCCAAGCCCTGCAAATGACACGCTTTTTCAGACATAAAGGGAAGGTGAATCACGGGCAGCCCTGGGGTTCAGTAAAGGACCAGAGGTGCCCAGGTCTCCTGAAGGCCCCAAGTTGGGCCCTGGGATTGTGCATGGTGGGTCTTGGGTTCAAATGTACAGTTCATGCACTACACAAAGATACCTGTCCAGGGGGTTGTGAAGAAGTATGAAATCCTGTCTATGTTCCACTCAACTGCTTCCAAACCCCCAACCGCTATAATTTCCAGGATTCGTGCATAAGAGATGGGAGTCCCCAAATCATGAGTCACTCAAGGCGCCTCGGCAGTACAGTGAATAAAGCACTTAGCTGCTGACCAAAAGGTCAGCCATTCGAGCCCACCAGCTGCGCCATGAGACACTGACATGGCGTCTGCTTCCAGAACGGTCCACAGCAGTGGAAGGCCCATAAGGGCGTTCTACTCTGTCAAATAGGACAGATCTGAACTGAAACTAGTTCTGCAGTCGTAGTGGGTCTCGTATAAATTATTCTGAATGTTTTGCTAATATTTGCATGTTTTTAAGTAATAATGAGGGCATAGCCATAGCAATAATACTTTTCTGTAATAGAGATTGTTTAAAAAAACTGTATAAATACAGTTTATTATTACTATGAAGCAATATGCTTTGAAACAAGTGTGCACGTAAAATGCATCTCTATTAGACACCAATATTTGGCCATTAAAAACAGTCAAGAGGAAGCATTAACACAACATATAGAAAACTAATTTTGAAATGTAAAGATGTTTAAAATACTTTGTCATTCTTAAAATGAAACTTTAAAACATCAACTCAGCTGGCGATGAGCATGGAGCACAGACTGCCGGCGCCTACGTGACCTCAGAGAACCGAGCGGCGCTAGTTCTGTAGTTTCTCGGGCTGAGAGACTTTACGGAGCCGGAAGCCTGGTCTTTCTCCCAAGGATCAGCTGGGGGTTTCAAGTGGCTAACTTAGGCCGGCAGGTCGATGCCAGCAGGGCTCTGTTTGTAGAACAGAGAAGGCAGTCATTGTCCTATCTCATAGTCCAGATCTTGGTTTCACGACAAATTCTCCAGCTGTTTAAAAATAAGTGTAATCTTACATTGACGGGCAAATCATTAAAAGCCTTCTAAAGGTATTGCCAAGTTGGACATGATGGTTTGTGTCACTACCATTTCTTATGGCAAAAATGCTCTATGCCAGCGGTTCTCAACCTTCCTAATGCCACGGCCCGTTAATACAGTTCCTCGTGTGGTGGTGACCCCCCCCAACCACAACATTATTTTTGGTGCTACTTCATCACTGTCATTTTGCTACTGTGATGAATCGGGCGACCCCTGTGAAAGGGTCATTCGACCCCCAAAAGGGTCGTGACCCACAGGTTGAGAACCGCTGCTCTGTGCTGTATTTGGTAGCCCTGACTTTGCTTTGGCCATGCTCACTCAGACGTGAGATGGGTTTACTGGCTTCATGTTGGAGTGTTCCACAGCATACACTCCCATCTTCCTCCCGGGCTTCCCTCTGCTGCACTGCTGACAACAGTCACAGACTATTACACGGGTAGAACTAAATAACGTAACATTTGGAACTCCAAATAAGCTTAATAAGACTACACTTCCACTGTCAGGAGCCATGGCAGCACAGTGGGCGGCTAACCTCGGGACAAAGAGAAGGCTTTCCACTCCTGTGAAGTTTGACTGTCTCAGAAGCCCAGAGGGGCAGTTCTACCCGAGAGGGTTGGGACCGTCAGAACTGACGAGATGGCAGTGAGTGAAAAGGATTTGTACAGAGCGTGCTGTACATAAAAGCACACATGAACACTCATTGTCACCACAATGCCTCATCACTAGCAGCCGACAAAGACACACACACACACACACACACACACACACACACACACACCATGCAAACAGCTAAAGCAAGACTGCCCATGAGCTCAGCCAGGACCACGTCTCTCCTAAGCATTGTCAGCACTTGCTTTCCAGGAAATCAGTGGGCTCCTCCAATGTCTCTGTGTTGATTTTTAAACTGTAATTCTCAAAGGGAAATTCTAACATTTTTCCCTATTGTCCCAACACGTCAGCTAATTTTGAGAGAAAGCACATTGTTTCGTTTTGTTTGAGAAACTCTGGGAATTTTCAGCCTACTTTGTTAATCTTATAATTAGCAAATGAAAAATAGGATCCTTTTGTGACTAGCCACTGCCTCACGAGTTGCTGTCTGGTGCCGTGGAAAGAACAGGGCGTTTTGAAGGCAGATGAATGTTGGTTCTTGGCTGTGTTACCTCCTAGGTGAGAGTCATGAAACACCTGGCCACAGGTTAGGCTTTTACCATCACGTAAACACTGCTCACGTCTCCACCATACCAATCTCTCTCATTCACATTTACCTGTTACCAACTGTAATTGAAGCTAAAATCTATCAGGATCGTGAATCTGCTTCAAAAAATGCCAAGTCCAGTCCCACACTGAAAGTAGGCTGGTTGTCCAGGAGGGGCTGAATATTTATCTACAAAGAGCTACTTCTTGCATTGTCTTAGTCGGATTCACTATAAAAGAGTGGTGACCCTTTGTGACTGGTGGGCATTTCTATGGCCACGGTATCATCAAGCTTGAGGCGCAGAGAGAGCAATTCCCCTGCACTGGATACCACTGCCTAACCCCCGACCCCCTCTCCCTATCCAGAGAGAGGGCTGGTGCCAGACAGCCTGTCTACTTTAAGAAGACTGACCTTGGGAACCTCATGGTCATGAGACCCGCCTATGTACACTAAACAATAATAGGAATCGTTGCCTTTGGGGGGAAATGGAATATGCATTTGGGGGAAGATATTTTTGAAATGAATCTTGAAAGTTGAGTACAAGAAGTCTTTCTTACCTTTAAATACTTCACCAGCTTCTGAATCTGCCAATATTCTGATGGCAGATCAGCATTTGCTTCCTGGCGATGATCAGGTGGCTCTTCGTCTTCCTCACTCTCTGAGGAACTCTCACTCATAATTTCCTCAATCTTATCAGCAGACTTGCTAAGAACAACAACAACAAGTACATACGTAAGCTGCAGCCCTGACCTGGTTATAATGATGTTTCAGCAACATGTGCATAAGCAACAAAGAAGATATCAGCACCCCTAAGTTCTGCTACCTTGCTGGGAGCTGCTGGAGGAGACAGACGCCCTGGTGGCATAGTGGTTAAGGAGCTGGGCTGCTCACGCAAGTCTGCAGCTTTGAAACCAACAGCCATTCCGAGGGAGAAAGACGAGGCTTAGAACCCCCCAGGGGCAGTCAGTTCTACCCTGTCTGATAGGGTCATGATGAGTCGGACTTGACTTGATGCTGGTGAGTGTGAGGGTTTTTTGCTCTGGGGAGACAAGTCTATGTGTTTATGTCGGTGCAGTTCAGTATTACTATTGCCTTAGGTTCTGTGATGATAAAGGACAGTGTGAACTATGAACACAGAAGTTAACACTGTGCTATGCAGTCAGGCAGCCATGAGCTGCATGCGACTATATATATTTAGAGCTATTTGATTTACTCTACTTGACCAAAATAAAGAATTCATTGATTTGGGCGCCCTGGTTGCATCGTGCCTCGGGGCTACCATGGCAGAGCGTGCAGATGTGGACTGTTTTCAGTACTGCAGAAAGTTCTATGCACAACTTGCAGCTCAGTGCGGCAAATATCCCCCAAATGAGAGTCTCCCTCACCAAGGAGAACCAGTAGGTAGCGCCTCCCTCCTCACGATGCCTAAACGAAAGTCCTCAGAAAGGCACGCGACTCCAAAGAACACCTGCGACCTAAACCAAGCTCAGGACCCAGGAGCTCGCTGCCCACTCCCAGGGATCCCTCACGTGCTAACTGCCGAGTTCCACGGGCATGCCAGGGGTACCCAGAGGAAGCCAGAACCTTTTCTTCAAAGACATGTGTTTATTTATTTATTTATTTACAAAACAACCTCATCACCTTCAAAGTAGTCTCCATTACATTTAATACATGTAGCAAATCTGCGATTCCATTCTTGGAAACATTTTTCAAACTCATCTGTTTGGCTGGCTGACAGCACCTCCCTCGTTTTTTTTCTTTCACCTCTTCTACATCATCAAATCCCTGTCCTTTCATGTCCCTCTTCATTTGTGGAAACACAATTAAGTCGCACAGGTCGAGGTCAAGTGAGTCAGGTGTGTGGGACAAGAGAAGCATGCTGGCTTTTTTGCCAAAAACTGGCACACTAGGATGGCTGTGTGAGCAGGTACATTGTCGTGGTGGCAAAACCAGTCCCCCGTCTGCCACAAAGCAGGCCTTTTTGTCACACACTGTTCTGCTATCTTTTCAGAACCTCTAAAGAGAAAGCTCGATTAACAGTCTGATCTGGTGGAACAAACTCCAAATGCACTACGAATCGACATTTTCATCCGTTTTGGAAGTTGACGGACGTCCAGAACGAGGTTTGTCCTCAATCAACATTTCACTTTTTTTGAAATGAGAAACCCACTCATACACTTGAGTTTTTCCAATAACGCTATCCTTGTAAGCTGTGTTCCACATCACAACAGGTTCTGTAGTATTCTTCCCAAGCAGGAAGCAACATTTCACAGCCACACAATGTTCTCTTAAATCAGCCATCACAAACCACGAGGTTCAAGTGAAACTGCTTTTACCAAAAAACCCACTGTGACCAGAGAGAACCTTCCCAGGAGCCGTCACTGGGTGCACTACGAGCATGGTGCTTGATGCTCACCTGGAAGGAAAATGCACGCGACAAAACCCCTCCCAGTGGAGCTTGTTCGGGAGGTAGATACCCCTCGTATAACACATTCAACCATCTGAGGCACAGGCAACAGTATCACAAGAACCTGGGGCAGACCACTGGAAAAGGTGATAGCCGGGGTCCCTTATAGCACCTATTGGCCTCACACCCCTGCAGAGCTCCCTCCTGCACGCTCATTACGCCTTCTGGTCCCCATTTCCCTGCACACATGCCTTTCTGCTCTTACGCCATCGACCCCACAACAGCATCTCAAGGACTACACATCCGGCACTCATTTATGAGGAAGAAGATACTTTTCTGGATCTTATTTCCCACATCTTCCTGAATTTACGTTACAGAAGTTAAGACTTCAGTGGGCAAGGTAGGAGCACCGACAACCCAGAGGTTCCAGTGCCTGACTGCGAATCAGCAGTGCAAGCAGCCCGGCTGCTCAGGGGGGTCTGCCTCCATTAAGAGTCAGAGCTTTGAAATCCCTATCGGTAGCTCTATGCTGTCAGACAGGGCCCCTATGAATTGGAAGTGACTCAGTGGCAGTGGGTTTCATTTTTCGGTTGTGTTTTTGCTGATGAGGTAGAGTTTGAGGAAAAGAATCGATGGGTGTATGGATTGTGATAAGAGTTGTATGAGCCCCCAATAAAATGATTTTTTTTTAAAGATAATCGCTACCCTCCTGAAAGAGGCTCAGTAAGTGGAAAGAAGGGGAGAGGGGAAGGTTTCCATGGACAAGGTCACCATTTAAACATGCTCGTCTCCTTATAATACAAGAGTTGCCTAAATGTGGCTAGTAGACCTAAAGACTTGGATTTTTTCATTTTATTTAAGTAAATAGAACCAAAAAACTGTGCAAATAGCTACCTTTGGCTGCTGACTGTGTAGCATAGCCTTAGAGCACTGATTTAATTTCCTGCTTATATTTTATTCTTTTCTTTACACTTGTTGAACCTGTCAAAAATACTCAAGTGCCCCTGCTCCATTATAAATCAGAGGAAGGGGCTTCTTTTAGAAGGGGAGAAAGGAAGAGGGCTCACTAGATGGGGACAGTGCCGAGCGTCATGGGAATGAGCGTGCTGAAGGAGACGAGCTCAGGTGAACATGCATTTAGTGAGACACCAGGGGTAAGGGGTGCCTGCAGACCTGGCCAGCCACCCTCTAGAGCAGAGTGTCCAATTACTTATAAAAATTACTTAGAAAGGTCCATGTGCTTATAAACTGAACAACACACTTCAAAATAACACAAAGAAGAAATGTCAAAAGAGGTTTTTCAAAAATCACGGAAGTGAATGGAATGAAAATACAACATGTCAGATGTGTAGCATGTCGCTAAAGCAGCCCAGAGAGGGAAATCAACAACACTAAAGGCGTACATTAGAAAAGTAGCAAGGTGTCAACCCAGTCACCTAAACTCACACTACACAAACTAGGAAAGAACAAAACAAGCACAAAGCAAACAGAAGAAAGGAAACTGTGGAAAACTGGAGACCTAGAAGGGAATGTATGCGGCCTAATCTCGACACTTGTAACAGCGGGCTAGAAAGACCGGCTCTCGGGTTCAGAGAAAGATCTCCACCGTTCTGAGACAGAGATAACATCAAATACACATTCCTCAGACAGAAAGATGTCCCCACAAGAGCCCTCCATCATAAGATGTCTCCTACAAGCAACTGGCTGCTCAAGATGGCTGGCGAATTCCTGTCTTTAAAAGCAATCAGACGATTGTGTCCTTCCCGCTCACAGAGCAGTCAATTCCCTCGGATGCCTTGTGATACTTATCGTAGAATCCCCTGGTGAGCTCAGGGGCCATTCAAGGTTAAGTCACGGCCATGCCATTGTGGATGTGCCTGCCGGAGGCTGGCAAGCCTCATGACTATCTAACCCTATTGGGAATACGCTCTCTCACTTTTGTTCCTGATTCGGACATTAGGAGGTGAGCCCTGGCTGCCCTGCTGTCCGTCCTCTCTTTCTTCCTTCATTGCACACACCACTCCTACGGACCCACACGAAGAGCAGAAATCAGTGAAATTGAAAACAAAAATACAATTTCAAAAATCAATAAAGCAAACAAAAAAATCTTCTTGAGAAGAGCAAGAGAATTGGCAAATCTCTAGCAAGACCGGCACAAGAAGATCTAAATTATCAATGTCAGGGATTAAACAGGGTAATAAAGAGTCCTATGAACAACTATAAGTACATACATTTAACAACTCAGATGAAATGAACCAGCTCCGGTAAAAATACGGACTACCCCTTCTCACCCAGGCTAAAGTAGATCGATTGAATAGAACTACAACTATTAATGAGATTCAATTCATAATTTCAAAGCTCCCAAAAAGAAATCTCCAGGCTCAGATAGTTTCACTAGAGAAGTCTACTAAATGTTTACGGAACTAACACTAATACTATACATTCTGTCCTAGAAAATAACACAGGAAGAAACATTTCTCAATTCATTCAACGATGCTGAATATCAAAATGAGACAAAGACAGAACCAAAAAAGAAATCTCAGGATTACAAATACAGACACTTTAAACAAAATTGCCACAGAGAATTCAGTTACCTATACAAAGAATTATACACCATGCCCAAAGCAAACAAAGTCACTGCCCTCGAGTCAATGCCAACTCACAGAGACCCTACAGGACAGGGTCAACTGCCCCTGTGGGTTTCCAAGACGGTAACTTTTTACCGGGAGTAGAAAGCCAGTCTTTCTCCCTTGGAGCTGCTGATAGTTTCGAACTGCTGACCTTGCAGTTAGCAGCGCAACTCATAACCGTTACACCGCCAGAGCTCCACACCATGACCCTGTGGGGTTTACTCCAAAGATACAAGGCTAGTTGAGTATCTAGCAATAAACATAATCTACCATATTCACAGACCAAAACAAACACACAAAAACCACGATTCTGTATCAGTTGAAAAAGAAAAATATTTGACAAAATTCAACACCCATTCATGATAAAAACACTCAAAACATGAGCACTAGAAAAAAACTTCCTTAGCTTGATTAAGAATATTACAGAACCTACAGCTAACATCAGGCTCAATGGTGTAAGCCCACATATTTACAGCGTCAGAAACTCACAAGGCGAGTTCTACCCCGTTCTATAAAGTGGTCGGGAGTCAGTATTGACTAAACTGCAGTGAATTTCTTTTGGAGTAAGAAGCAAGGACGCCCACTTTGAGCACTGTTATTCAATATTAGACTGAAAGTTCTAGTAACCACAATAAGGTGAGAAAAGGAAATCTAGGAAGATTTAAAGAAGTTTGTGGGAAAATGCAACAATTTTTCCATGAACTTTTTGAAGCTCCCTATACAGAGCACACAAATCAGAAGGAAGAATTGTAGCCTTCGTCTTTTGCACATAATATGATTATTTATGTAGACAATCCAAGACATTTTAAAACAAGTTCCAAGAAATAGTTGGTGGCATTCAAAAATCAGTTCTAATTTATATACTATAGATAAATAAAAAGAAGCTAAAATTTAAATTCCATTTACAACAAAATACTTAGATTTAAAAGCTCACAAAACACATAGCGTTGAATTTGTGTGCTGAAAACTACAAAACACTGTTAAAAGAAACCAAGGATGATCTCAATAAATGAATAGACATATCATGTTCATGGATTAGAAGACATTATGTAGTAAAGATATCAATCCTCTCAAAGTTCATATATTAGGGTAAGTTAAAAAGTACTGCCATCAGGGTTTCAATTCATACACGCATGTGTTTATTCAAAAACAAACGTGTAAACATGTCTTCATGATCAGTGGAAGGCTGGAAACAAGTTCGTGCAAGTTACATGCTTCTTGCATGTAAGTTCGTCATTCTTGTCTTACGTTTGTTACGATCCTTGCAAACAAAGGCCCGATTGCCACAGTGGTTTCCTAGGGAGTGTACTGGGCAGAGATGAGCTCAGAAGTTTATCATAACTGTTTCTTGAGGCTCAGATTTACCCAAAGGACCAGGATGATCACGGGGGCTGGTTAGGAAGAGGTTTTCAGAAAACGGAAAACTCCATTGGTGAAATAAGGGCCAGGAAGGTTGTGCCAAGAAATTTTATGTTCGATCCTGATAATGTGCCTGCTCGTTCTTCAGATGTCACGAGGACCATCCTGTGAGAATTTCATTGGAAAAGCTTACCTCATCTACCCTACATCCCTGACCCTAACCCTTCAGACTTCTTTTTGTTGCCCAAACTCAAAGAAGGTTAAAAAGGGACATGGTTTGAGTCCTTCAATGATGCCAAAACTGCCATTTTGATGTGGCAAAAATAAAAGAACCCGGGATTATTCGGAGAATGGTTATTAAACAGAAGGAAACGCCATTCTTCAGCAGTCTATAGACCTACATGGAGGACATGTTGAGAAACAATAACTTCAAATTTTGCTATTCTTGTGTAATAAATGTGTCTATGACTGTGTTACACATAAAAGCATAAGGATGTAAAGTTCTTATTTCTAGATATAGCCTCCAGCTAGGCTTACACTTCTTTACTTACCCTGGTATACCTCTAAGGCATTTTTAGATCGCTATAGGAAAGATTACTCTAAAATTTATGTGAAAAGAGAAATAAAGTAGGTTACCTAGTTTATTTTTGGACAACAAGGAAAAAAGTGAGAGGAATATTTCTACCAAATCTCATGATTTACATATAGCTACAACAAGGGGTACTTTGGTGGTATCAGACAGAGGAGGACTATATATAAAACACAATCCAACAGAATAAGGTCCCACATGAATAGAGTCAGCTGATGGCTTTTTTTTTTAAACAAAGGTTAAATCAATCAAAAAGATGATTCTGGAGCATTTGACTATTCATAAGCAAAATAAAATGAACTTTCAACGTAAATCTTATATTTTATTTTTAAAATAACTCAAAATGATGATCTTAAATGTAAAACTGTGAGGACTTCTTGAATAAAACCAAGGAGATAACTTTTTGGACTTGGGGTTTGGTGGAGAGTGTTCAGGATACAAAAGCACAATTAATAAAAGAAAAAAGTTAGTGACTTGTATTTAGTCAAAATAAAAACTTTTCAATAGTCTTTTCAATGGCTGGTTTCCTAGAATTTCTACTCTGACACACATGGCGTTGTGTGAGTCAAAACAACTTCATGGCAATGACAAAATCGTGGCTAAAACATAGTAGAAAAATTCATCCTTCTTTAATGTCAAAATCTTATATTTTCATATTCTTAACATGGACAAGATTGTTCAATATGAAGTCTGACACTGATGTCTTCTCTGAATTTTAGTTATCTTTTATCAGTAAAGATACATCGGAGAATAGAAACAATAAAATTTTGGTTAGGGAAAACCCGCGTTAAAAGAATGAAAAGTTACAGAGCTGGATAAAATACTTGTGAGCTATATTCAGACAAGAGTCCAGTGCCCAGAATACATAAACTCACTGCCATTGAGTCAATGCAACACTTAGCAGCCCTGTCGATCAGTGCAGAACTGCCCCTTTGGGTTTCTGAAACTGTAAGTCTTTACAGGAGTGGAAAGCCTCTTCTTTCTCCCATGGAGTAGCTGGTGGTTTCAAACTGCCAATCTTTTACTTAGCAGTCCAGCGTAGACCACTATGCCACCAGGACTCCTTTAGAATACATAAAGAACTATCAAAACGCAGCATGAAAAAAGGGGAAAAAAACTAAATAGAAAATGAGCAAAACACATGAAGAGACATTTTACCAAAGAGAATATAATATACAATAAATGTGAAATGATGTTCAATTATCACTAGCTATTAGAGAAATGATAAGACTATAAAGATATAGCACACTACATGCCATTTAGCAGTAGCCTCAAACTGGAGACACCTAACACTTCCTCCAGTAGGTGGGTAGTTAAATAAACTGTGGTGCATCCACACCATGAAATACAACTCAACAAGGAAAAGGGAACACACCAAGAATACAGCCAACAACTTGGATAAGCCCTCAAAGTCATTACACTAAGTAAAAAAAAATTTTTTTTCAAACCATCTCAAAATGTCATACACTACATAACGCTATTTACATAACAAGCCCCAAACACCAAAAAGAAAGACCTGGAAAACAGAGAAGTGGTTGGCGTGGATTGGGAATGATAATGGGAGGAAAGGGTGTGGTTCTAAAGGAGTAACATGAGGAAGCCCTTTGTGGGGAAGAAACTGTTCTGTGTTTTGTATCTTGATGGTCATGGTAACAATGACGGACGGAGTTGTGGCTATATCCTGCTTTTGATCTTGTACACTAATTACAATGAGTGAAGGGTGCCTGGAATCTCTCAATATTGTTCTTTCAGCTTCCTGTGACTCTAAAACTACTTCAAAATAGACAGCTTTTAAAAATGATTGAAGAAATTTAATTCTTTAGTATGTCAACTTAAAGCACCTGGGGTGCAACAGGCTAAGCTGTGGACTACACACTATAAGGTCAGAGGTTCAAACTAAGCCCAGTCACTTCCGGGAGAATGAGGTTGCTATCGACCACTGTAAAGGTCTCTAGTCTCAGAAGCCTCGAGGGGCGTTTCCACTCTGTCCTGCAGGGCTCTGCATGAGTTGGAATTGGCTTGACAACAGTGGGCTTGGATTTGTTGTTGTTATTTATGTAGATTTGGCATACACTTAGCAGAGCATCTAAAAGCCTGGCTTTTCCCCAAGGGTGGCAGTTATTGTTGTCTGCCCTGCCTCGTGGTAATGCCAACAGCAGAAGAAAACTCCACCAGGCCCCACATCAGCTCCACGACTGCTATCAGCCCCGGGCATCAGACTGTCCATCGAGTTTTCAGTGCCTGTTTGTTGCTGTTGTTGTTTTCTTTTCGGGGGAAGCTGATTTTTTTTCCTAATATGTCTTAGTCTGGGAATCCGGCTGGGATCTGTTCAACATTATGGCAACAGACAATGTTTTGTTGACAGACAGGTGCATGGTGGCACAGCCAGGAGTAGCGCTCACGTGTCCCATGTGGGAGGCAAGAACTCCACCCACAGAACCACCATCAAACCCTTCCAAAGGTGAAACTCCTGACATTTCCTCCCACCCCCCTTCGGAAAGTTTCCAGGAAAACTGGCCCACCCCTCCCGCTACATGTGTGGCTTCCCTTGTCACCTTGAAAACCAGGTGAGAAGTCTAACGGTTAGCCTCATAGTAATAGCTCATCATTCGACTCAGAAGTCAAATAACACAGCGGGTGAGAACGTGCACAGCCGCAGGGCGCAGAAAAGTCAGGCTCAGAGAGATGCCGAGCTCGACGCCGACACACTGTTCTGAGGCAAAAGATGAATTAAGAGCTCCGCTTTCCTCTTGCTTAGACCACTGCTCTTTACATTAAATGCACGCATTTTCATAGTTACATGAGCCATACCCATTGTCGCCCTTTGAGTTCATTCCAACTCATAGCGACTCTACAGAACAGAGTAGGCTATGCAGCTTTCTGGAAAGAGCCAGCTTCTCCTCTGTTCAGTGGAATAGCTGGTGGGTTCAAACCACCGACCTTGGGCTTCACCATTGTGCCACCAGGGCTCCTTAGAGTAAACTAACACCTGTATTTCAAATAACTCTGTATCTGATATAACTTACTTCAAATAACTCTGAATTAGAGCATTTTATAAATATATTGACAGAAATATATTATTATTATCATCATCATTTCTAATAACATCAAAATAAGTATCTTAGGATCCTAATGTAATAGTTAAGAACACCTTAGTTAGTGGGCAAACGAGTCTATTGTAAATTCAGGGCTCAGAATAACTGGTCATATTAACAGAACATACCGATGTGCTTTTACAGTACTAAGAGATGGTCTTGGCTTATCCAATTTCGATACATGTTTTTCCTCCAGGGTGTCCTTGACTGAACTTCTGCGGCTAAAAACACATTAATATGATTCATTAATGTGATGGATTGAATTGTGACCCTCCCACCATATGCTCAACAGAAGTTGTAATCTGTATCTATGACCTTGTTGTGAAATACGTTTTTGTTGTTGTTGTTATCAGTTAAGTGAAATGAAGTCACACCACCTTAGGAAGAGTCTTAATCCTAATCCCTGTTGAGTTATGCTTCATGAACGGGGACAACAGACCTGTAGTCAGAGTCACACACGGGGAAAGCCCATCGCCAAACAGGAAGCTGAAAACGACCAGGCCGCTCTTCTTGCGGAGGAGACAGAGAGCGAGCCCGGCCAGCGCCCTAAATCCAAACTCTTGGCTTCCAGACAGTGAGGCTGCTTGTTTGTTTTAAGCATTTTATTGGGGGCTCGTACAACTCTTCATCACAATCCATCCATCCATCCATTGTGTCAAGCACATTTGTACATTTATTTCCCTCATCATTCTCAAAACATTTGCTTTCTACTTGAGCCCTTGGTATCAGCTCATTTTTCCTCTCTCCCTGCTCCCCCACCCCCCATAACCCCTCGATAATTTGTAAATTACTATTATTTTGTCATCTCTTACACTGTCTGACATCTCCCTTCACCTACTTCTCTGCTGTCTGTCCCCCAGGGAAGAGGTCATATGTAGATCCTTGTGATCCATTCCCCCTTTCTACCCCACCTTCCCTCTGCCCTCCGGTATCGCCACTGTCACCACGGGTCCTGAGGGGTGTATCTGTCCTGGGTTCCCTGTGTTTCCAGTTCCTGTCTGTAACAGTAATTTATTATGGACACTAAAACAAATGCTTTCTGCTGATGACTATGAAATGAGAGATGGAAAGTATGCAAATGTTTCATCATTTTCATATGTCCAAAAGATGTTTTGTTGACACCGAGAATGACTGACTAGGAAATTTAATTAAAACAAACCAGTTGGGTTTTAGTTGAGGAGGGTAGAATTAAAAAATTTTTAATCACTCACAACATACAAATGTTAAGTCAAAAAATATTGTTATTACAGTTCCAGTTTAACTTGCACAGGTATAGTCTAAATACAACATGCTTAAATGTTCTCTTTGGTCAGTGGATCGCTGCAGACAAGTTCTCTCAGTAATACCCCTCTCTTAGTCTCATTAGAGTGTCTTTAAAAATGACATTTTTTTTTAACATTTTATTAGGGGCTCATACAACTGTTATCCCAATCCATACACACATCAATTGTGTAAAGCGCATTTGTACAT